CAGACGTTTTACCGACTGAGCCACTCAGGTGCTTCTAACCCCAACTTTCTATCTAGAATGCAGAATACTAAAATATAAATACACTTTTTATTTTCTATAGTAAAGCAGTTTCTCTTTTTTATTAGTAGTGATCAGCAAGATATTACCAATGGGAAAAAAACATCTCCCCAAGTAAAATCATCAACCCATGAGTCTCACAAACACAAGAAGTCAAAGAAATCTCACAAAAAAAAGCAGAAAAAAAAGTCGCACAAAAAACAGAAGAAAAGCAAAAAAGAAGCCACGGATATAACAGCAGATTCCTCAAGCGAGTTCTCGGAAGAAACTGGGGCTTCTAGTACCAGGAAAAGGAAACAGTCACATAAGCGCAAGAAAAAATCCAGGAAAAAGTCTCTCAAAAAATCTGCTTTATTCTTGGATGCAGAAAGTGACACTTCCCAGTCAGATGATTCCGCATCCAGCAGTTCTGAGGAAGGTGAGGAAAGAGACACTAAGAAAACCAAAAGGAAAAAGACAGATAAAAAAGTCCATATCCCTATAGTTAACAATGAAATACAGGAGAGGACGAACAAACGCACAAATTGGAAAGTGGCTACAGATGAAAGGTCTGCAGAGAGTTCAGAGGATGACTAAATGAGGAGATACTCTCCATTTCCCATCTGACTGGTTACTTACAGCTCTTCCACCTTGGGGTTTTGCCAGTGACTCTGTTGCCCAGCACAGGGGCCCTGAGGTCAGAGCTGTCCTGTGCCATCTATCTACATTCTGACAGACTTCTTGTCTTCTGTTTTGGCCTGTTAAACTTGATCCTCTTATTGTTAATAGGGAATGTGGTATTTTGTTACGAAGTTTTCTTGAAGAGATTATTTTTTGCAATTAATCACATTTAGGGTAGAGTGCAAATGCAACAAATTGAAGGACCCAGAAAGCTGAATCCCAGTAACAACCTGGGTACACCAAATGGGATGTAGAATTTGGGGAAAGCAAGGGCTGGGATCAAGAGGTGGATTGGAACTGGTGCTGTGTACAATGTTGGAACATCGTATTGCTCTGTTTATATAGCAGGTGCCACAACTTTGTCTTCAGCCTTGGTGCTTTGATCTTTCTGTATTTTGGCCTCATAGATGTGGTCCAGTTTATTTAATGAGAAAATGAGTAAAGAGCAAGACATTTTTCCTTCATAACATCCATAGACAGCTGTTATTATGAGACTAGGGTTTTCTGTCAAATTTCCCTGCTGGACAGGGTCTGTGGCTACACTAAGTATACCCCTAAACATGGTAATTGGTTTAGTAAATGGTTTTCTACTTCCTGTATATGGCCTAAATGGACTTGTGTTCGAAGTTATTTCTTCAGTTGTTTTGGTTAAGTCCTCAACCAAATGGGATAAAATTAGGAATTAGTCATGCTGTCTGATGGTGCTCTGAACAGCATTCAGGGTAGCAGCTGCCATTTAAATATTATCTTCCTTGTTCATTTCTAAATCTATTAATGGAATTTAGATTTTCCCTGAAACTAGGTTGAACCAGTTCCAAAATGCAACAGGCTTCTCAGGGACTCACCCATTTCTTCCCAGTTTGCCTTCTGATTAAAGCACCAAGCAGAGACCCTATTATTTCCCTTTGCTATATACTGTGATCCCTACTGTTAATTCTTAAGAAACCAAAATATCACTGAAAAAAGGCTGGCGGAACACAAGTGAATTTTTTCATTATGACAGAATACCAAGTGACATATCACTGTTTTTTCTGGTTGTCACTTCATGGTCTTGGTAGAAAGCTTGAAAACTCAGACTTTTGTTCTTGGTTCTGCCACTAATTAGTTATGAGGTCCGGAAAAGGTGAGTTAACCTCCCTGGCCTTACTTTCCCCGTGTATAATACAGAAATACTTCATGGTAGCATGACAGTGTAAGACACCAGCAATAGAATATAACTGTAACAACATTCCATGAGGTGGTAATATTTTACAGTTCTAACTACTAAATTTGTTCTCTTTACAGAACAGATGTCTAATAAAATGTTTAGTCATAAAATACATGGTTGGCTAGAGGTTCCCTATCCCTTGATTATAAGCAGGTGCTACCTTTGGGGATATTTACTTGAAATATTAATACTTTGGTACTCAATTGTCAATGTTCCATGGCGTATATTTTTACCTTTGGGATTAGTAGGGGCCCAAGGTGGGGCCAACAGTTTGTAATTACTACCTCTTAACCTAAAGACAAATTGTTTTGTTCTTGGAATAAGTGAAATCTTTGTTGGAAGGAGTTTTCAGCACGTATTTTTTTTAGCATTGTTTCTGTGCTATAAAAGTACTGATTCTAGCACAGACTCAGGAAGATGGGCCAGTGGAACAGGCATCTTCAGGAAGTTGGTTCTGCTTCAGTCTTGACCTTCCCTTCCTCCCATACTAGCAGGCCTATTTCTTTCCCAAAAATACACATCCTGCCTGTTTTGTTTTTGCCATGTTTACTTTTTCTTGGTCATATATAAGCAATAAAGCTGTTTTCTGTTCTTCACCTTTCTCAACCCCAATTTCTCTTCTATACCTTAGGCTAAGTCTTTGATGGTTCTTCTAGCCCCCTTAAATATGGCTGAGGATGGCCTTTCAAAACCTAAGATCTCTCATTTGCACTACTGGTCTTGGAACGTACTTCTAGCGTTCCTGCCAATCAGAGATCTCTATATTAAATCCTAAAATGGGATTAAGGAAAAAAAAGAAATTTCGAGCTGGAGAATTCAGATTTATTGAATAACTATTGTGATAAAACATGGAATTTCTGAATTCCAAATAAATAAATTTCACTTTTTGAACATTTGATCTGTTACTTCTTAGCACCAATAGGCTTGGTAACAGCCTCAAGTTCACCTGACAACAGGCTGACAACTTTCCCCCACTGGCCCTTCAATCTGCTTAACAAGTCCTTTGCTTCTGTCATTCTCCCAGGGGATGGCCTACTGCCCTCCTTTCTGTACAATCTGGGCAAACCGACTGGTGATGGCAAGAGTAGTGTCAATGAAGCGGTCCACGCAGCTAGAGAGACAATTTTCAGTGCGAGAGTCTAGGCGATTCCCTGGCTTCTCCACACATTTATCCCAGCACAGCTCCATGAAGTGATGCACCTAGGAGGAAAGAAAATTAGTAATTGCCTGCTGTCTGCATATAGGTCTAACTGCCAACTTTATTTCCTTCCTGTTTTTCTCCTTTTCTGTCACTTGACTAAACCATTCTTTCAATCAACAAACCATGGGCTCTCTTCCCTCACTTCCTAATTTGTCATCAGTATGGCCCAGATCCTTGTTCCTACATTGCAATAATCCTTTATCCTTTCCGTTTCTGTTTTTCTCCTCTTTAGTAGTTACAAATAACTTTCCATCAAGTCACCCCTGTACTTAATGCACAATTCCTCTGTTAGCCACTCAGGCCAGCCCATTATTTAACCACCAACCTGTTAAGCTTCAATGAAGTACACACACAGCATACTCAATGTGACTTAATATTCCCGGAATGCCCTACCTAAAGATTTGTCCCATTCTTCAAAACAGTTCACATTTTTAACTCCTTGAAGGCCACCGTCTATTTTTTCCGATTGTGTTAAGTCCTTAATCAGACTGTAAATTTTCAGGCATGGTTAGCAGTATTCCCAAGTTGCACCCGTGTAAGCTGGGAAGGTATGGTACCAATTAATTTCCCCCCAAACCACTGCTCTCCTGTCCTTCCAAACCTATCCCTTACAGACTAGTTCCTAAGTTCTTTTTTTTTTTTTTTTTTTAAGATTTTATTTATTTGAGAGAGAGAGAATGAGAGAGAGCACATGAGAGGGGGGAGGGTCAGAGGGAGAAGCAGACTCCCCGCCGAGCAGGGAGCCCGATGTGGGACTCGATCCCGGGACTCCGGGATCATGACCTGAGCCGAAGGCAGCCGCCCAACCAACTGAGCCACCCAGGCGCCCTAGTGCCTAAGTTCTAAACCTTTTTGGGTTCGTGGACACATGGGTGAATCCAATGAAGGTTATGGATCCACTCTCCCCAAAAATGCACATCAGGTACAGAAAATGTGTTTTTGCTATTTAATCCGTCGCGAACACCGTCCCCCCCAGCCCCCCACGGGGGGCAACCCTTTACGGAGGGCTTCCTAGACTGGCTACTCAGCAGTCAGTCAGTACTTTCTGCGGTCCTAACGTCTGACCGTCATCTCCGTTCGGCTAAGCAATCAGCCACGCTGCTAGAGGCGCTGCCAGTAAGGGTCCACGCCGGGTTTCGAACCGCGCCGCAAGGGCTCCAACACGGGTCCCAACCTACAGTCCAAACGGACTACCTTAGAGCCCACCTCTCTCCATTAACCTTCCACTGCTTTGTCGTTGTCAAACACATGATCGCATATGATCTCTGCAGTCCAGTGAGGCAGCAGGCGACTGCAGAACCGAGACCCACAGTGGCTGGGCGTCTTGTCTAGGGGCACGCGGCCTGGAAGGGGCGGAGGCAGGATCAGAACCCAGGGCTTCCGAAGGCCAAGCCCGGAGAGCTCGCCGCCAAGCCCGGTTCCGTTGCCCTTGCGTCGCCCGAACCTTTCTTCTCTGCTTTACACTCTCTCTTTCCCGCACGCTGGGTGTGCCTAGCGGGCGCCTGAGCACTACTGGTCACCAGGGGCTGGAGTCTTTTCCGGGAAGAACCCGGCGCGGCAGGAGCGAGCACGGGGCAGTCCCCCCGTGGTGATGTCGCAGAGCTCCGCTCGTTTTTTCCTAGCGGCTGCCACTTCACGGGCTGAATAAAAAGTCTGAAGACTCAACCTGTGCCTCACCCTCCTGTCTCTTCCCCTGGGTGCCTGTCCCCGCACCTGTGCAGTGAACTGCGCTTTCTGCTGCTCGGCCGCCACCAGGCGCTGCAACTCCGCTTCGTCCGCCTCCCCCAGCTCCGCCATCGTCCGCCTCCAGCTCCGGCCTCCCGACGAGCGGGCGCGCGCACGTGCGGCGGGCGCGCGCCAGCGCCCGACTTCCGGTTCACGCGGCATTTTCCCTCGCCCTGTTTTCTTGAGTCCTTGCGGGGTGGGAGTTGTCGAGTGACTGCTTCCGGGTTGCTGAGTGACCTTGAGGCTCGAGAAGCGAGATGGCGAGTCTTTGGAGGTTGAGTGTCCTGTGCGGTGCGCAAGGAGGCCGAGGTGAGCGGTCCTGGCAGCGGGAGGTTCTTAGCGCAGCCTCCCGCCGGGGAAGGGAGTGCGGCGAGGATTTGTCTGCGGGGTGGTGAGGCCTCTTAAGCAGGGAATCCTTCCTCCGTCCCGTTGGCCGATCTGGCTCCGGTCGGCAGCACAGCGGTAACCACCGTTGTCTACGCGCCCAGATGTCCTCCCGAGCGCGTATCTCCCCTGCTTCGGGCTGACACGGGGATGGGGTGATCTGAAAGAGAGCTCCTGGAAGTTAAGTTCTGCTGAGGCTGTTCCTAAGAGTTTTGTTGTTTTTTTTTTTTTTCCTCCTCCGCATTCACATGCGCCCACCCCGCATCGGAAAAGTGTGGGGTTAGGCTCCAAACCCCAATGCCTGGCCTTTCCCATTTACCCTGGAGTTGGTGGAAAGGGGCTTCTGGAAATCAATTCGATAATCATTGCATTGGACATCTGTGTTATACCAGGCACCGTAGTAGGAACGGGATACAAATGTGTATAAAACATAGTTCTTGCCCTCGAAGAGGGAAGACACATGTAAACATAATTTAACGTAAAGTAGAAACTCTTGTGCTGCACATAAATTGTTACGCCAGTCCAGAGGAAGACCATACATAGCTCTGTGTTTTGGAAGAATTACCCTGTCTTGGTTCCTGAAGGAGATGTGTGTGTCTTGAGGATAAGGAAGGCCACAGGGGGAAGGGCATTACAGTTGTAACTACTGGGATGAGCAGAAGTGATGATGAAGGTGTAGGAACAGCGAGGTAGGAGAGAAAATAAACAGATATGATTAGAGCATGAAGCTCAAGGTGAGGAATGAGAGCTGAATCTGCAAAGGTGAACTGGAATCAAATCATGGAAGAACTTGCCTTGATATGGAGTATGCATTTACCTGATGTGAACAGGGCCATTGAAAGATTTGACAGAGAGTTGCAGTTTAGATTGGCTACTTGGGTAACACTGTGGTAGATGGCCGTCATAGGAGATGGGACAGGCTAAGACACAAGTCAGGGAGATGAGATAGGATACTGTTGTAGTCGTGCGGGCAAGGATTGTGAGGTCCTGACCTTGGAAAGTGGTACAAAAAAGAGCAGATTGTCTCAAGAAATGTTAAGGAGATACATCAATATGATTTGGTGATTGACAATTTCGGGGCGTTGGGGGGAGTTTTATATGACTTACAGATTTTTGGGTTAAAGAGTGGGGTGTTATTAAATAAAGTGGGGAACATGCAAATGGGTGACAAGTTTGGTTGAGAAAGTGAGTTGAAGGGTGATTTTAGTTTTTGGCATAGTGAGTTTGAGGATCATGTAGGATATCTTAGGGGAGAGGCCCAGCAAGCACTTAAACTTCTGAAACACTGGAGAGATAGCAGGGCTGCAGATACAGAATTGGGTGTCATAAGCTTACGGGTAGTATAAGCTGAGTGGACAAAATGGCCAAGGGAGGGCTTAGGACATGAGAGCAGTGGGCAGATGATAGAATGCTAGGAAAACATCTAAGAGTGAATGCAGGAGACTGATACAGGATGTCACAGGATCAAAGGGGGACTAGAAGAGAGTTCATCAGAAAAGAAGAGAGGAAAGGCCCGATCAGATGAAGACTGAACAGTATTTGTTGGATGTGACCACATGGAGACCATTGGCAACTTAATAAAGCAGTTGTAGTCAGGATAAAATAAGTTTCAGAGTTGAAGAATGATAGGGAAGTGAGGAAGTGGAGGTGATTTAGACAATATTTTAAAGCATAGTTGGAAAGAGAAGAAAGGGAGCAGGGGAAGAGTGCATGGCATTAGAGGATGCAGGGTCAAGGGAGGGGTCACATATATTACGTCAGTCAGGGGGAAATGGCCAACAGGAAGGAAGGAGAGGTGAAAGACATGGGAGAGAAATTACCTTTTAATTGAGTACTTATGACATTATGGGAATTATGCTCAGCACCTTGAGTATTTTAATTTTCAGTGGAGTGTTATGAAGTAAGTGCTACTATTTTCACTTTACAGATGAGGACATTGAGGCTTAGAGAATTTATTTAACTTAATTGCTCATCACCTCATAGCTAGTAAGTGGTGGAGTTGTGTGAACTTAGGTCTATTTTTTAACCAAGACACAGGATCCGAAAGGGGACAGAAAAGGATAGGTTCAAAAGTACAAGTGGAGGGGCGCCTGGGTGGCTCAGTCGTTTTAAGTCTCTGACTCTTGATTTCGGCTTGGGTCATGATCTCAGAGTTATGAGATCGAACCGCATGTCAGGATCGTGCTTGGTGTGGAGCCTGCTTAAGATTCTTTCTCTCCTGCTCCCTCTGCTCCCCAACACCCCCAAAAAAGAGTACAAGTGGAGAGGGGCACTTGGATGGCTCAGTCAGTAGAGCATGCGACTCTCGATTCAGGGTTGTGATTTCAAGCCCCACATTCGGTGTAGAGATTACTTAAAAATAAAATCTTAAAAAAAAAAAAGGAAGGTGGTAATAGATGTGCTTCCCAAACTAAACTGAACTCCTTGAGGACAAAGGCTGTCTTTTGTCTCTTGCTCCAGTCTAGGCATACTCTTACCTGTAGTAAATGCTTGTTGGATGAATAAATAGATGAATATATGGAAAGAGAAAGGAGCTATAATTTACTTTTTAAAATTAGTAAGAGTGCAGGGGCGCCTGGGTGGCTCAGTCGTTAAGCGTCTGCCTTCGGCTCAGGCCATGATCCCAGGTCCTGGGATCGAGCCCCATATTGGGCTCCCTGCTCAGCGGGAAGCCTGCTTCTCCTTCCCCCGCTTCCCCTGACTGTGTTCCCTCTCTCGCTGTGTCTCTCTCTGTCAAATAAATAAAATCTTTAAAAAAAAAAAAAATTAGTAAGAGTGCAGCCCTTTTACATAGGTGGTTCATTGATTTTTCGGTCTTTGAGGGGCTACTTTAGTGTGAACTAATAGCAACCCAGGGAAATAGATACTGTCCTCATTTTGCGGATGAGATATTATTCCCTGTCGGGGCTTATGTAGCTTGCTTATGGTTATTTAGAAAGTCTGTCAGGCCTGTTAAAGGAGAAGTGTTTATGACCCCCCTAATGTCTCTTTCCTCAGCTCTGTTTCTCCGAATCCCGGTGGTCAGACCTGCTCAGGTCTCAGCATTTCTCCAGGACCAGCCTACCCCAGGATGGTGTAGAACACAGCACATTCACCTGTCACCCAACCACTATTGTATGTTTGTTGTTTTTTTTTTTCATTGCTGCTGCTTTTTGGGCTCTGGCCCTCTTCATCTGGGCAAATTTTCATGCCTTTGACAGGACTTGCTATCTGTGGAACAGAACTCTTATGTCCGACTCTGTCAAATGAGGACCTACCTAGCCTGCACCTTTGGGCAGACGATGCCAGCATGGTTGAATGATGCCATTTATACTCCTAGAGAATCTTCTGATCTAAGTCCACTTCAAATTTCAGTTTTTTTCTGAAAGAAAATAGCTCTTAGGAAGAGTCTGTACAGTATAGTCAGTCTTATTTATTTAGCTGATGGAGAGGAGCCAGATACAAATAATTTAGAGTAGTAGACAGTTTAAAAAGTCATACATATTTATAGCTGTAATTGACTTGCTTATTTTTATTTAGGTCAGTATTAAAATCACGTGGCATTTTTTAGGGTGAATATTATAGAAAATCTGTAGGTGAATAATGAGTTAACTATTTCCAGTTTTAAAGTCTGGAAAGGTCTGTATTTTGCAGAGATAAAGACTTATCTTGACGCTTAAGTCAACAACTTACATATGGTTGCATCTGAGTTATGAGAAATTAGGCAAGTACAGTTTTTCTGCTTTTTAGAATTATTTTATCTTTGAAAAGGTTTTGTTTCTCCATTCCTAAATTTTAAATTTAGCAGAGTGATTTTAATTTGGGGTGTGTGGACTGAAGAAAAGCCCCTGAAGTTGTAAGCATAGTTTTTACTGAGTGTGTCCATGTGCATTTTTCTGGAGAGTATCTCCATTAGATTCCCAAAGGGGTCTGTAACCAAAAAAAGATAGAGGCTCCTGAAGAAATGTTTACAGCCCATTTTGTTTTTCATTTATTTAAAAGAAGTTCTCATGTTCCATTTTTGTTTTGGGCTATTTATAAGTAATGGGACAGAAGAAGGACCATAATCCTAAAAGTTCGTATCAGAACTTGTTGAGTTGGCTGGTTTAATTTTGTTTTGGGAGTGTTTTTATTATTACCTTACTTCTAATTCTAAAGATTAGAAGGTGTAAAAAGAGTAATGTTGTAAAGGAATTCCTTAGTTGGTATTAACTTGTATTTATAAGGTATCTGTCTATTACACTAAAGTTCAAGATTGGTAATTCTGCAAAGGTACTTCGTTCATCTTCTTGCCTGTCGGCAAAGTGGGTCAGTCTTCTAATCTATGTAAGCACCAAGATACATTGTGCTAAAGAACTTCAAAGAGGGAGGTAGCATCTTTCTCAAGTACCTTGTTTATCTTAACTCTCTTTATGCTCAGAGCTAAGTCTTATATGCATGCTATTTGCCATTCTGTCAGCTGGGTTATTTTGTGGCAAATACTGAATATGAGAGATGTGTGTTTCCCCCTTTCAACTCTTACGAATCTGGTTCTTCCTTTCTGTAGCTAGTTCTAAGGCTGCATCTCTCCACTGGACTGGTGAGAGGGTTGTCAGTGTTTTGCTCCTGGGCCTAATTCCAGCTGCTTATTTGAATCCTGGCTCTGCGATGGACTACTCCCTGGCGGCAGCCCTCACTCTCCACAGTCACTGGCAAGTACAGCAGTCCCTTCAGTGTTACATTGTCTGCTCAGTTTATTAGCTGTGAGCTAGTCTTATTAGAAGTTGACTGAGATACTCATAGATAACTTTAAAACATATATAAAATATTTATATGCCCAGATTTATGTGTCCACCTGCCTATTCGATGTCTTCGCTTCCGTAGCTAATAGGCATTTTGAATATAACATGTTATAAAACTGAGTTCTTGATCTCCCCAAATCTCTTCCTCTGGCACTCTTGCTCATCTGAATTAATGGCATTTCCATTCTTCTAACTATTCATGCCCCAAACCTGGTCATCATCTTTGATTCCAGTAGTAGTGTCCTAACTGGTCCTCCTTCTGTCCCCAACACAGCAGCCCCAGTGATCCTGTTAAAATATTAAGTCAGGTCAAACATTCTCCTCAAAATATTTTGCAGTCTTTTAACCTCCCTCAAATGAAAAGTCAGAATTCTTATGTTGGTCTACAGACCCAACATAATCTGGCCCTGTTTCTTCCCTCATCTCCAACTACTCTCTTCCTCATCCTCACTGGCTTTGATAATTCTTAGACACACCAGGGACACTCCAGGCCTCAGGACTTTACTTTTACTCTTGCTTCTGCCCAGCACTCTCTTTTTCTAGTTATACACTTGGCTTGTTCATCATTTCCTTCACATCTGAAATGTCACCTTCTCAGTAAAGCCGCCTGTAACCACTTACTTACAATTGCAGTGTCCTTCCCAGCATTACTTATCTCTCTCCCCTATTTTATTTTTCTCAGTAGTGCTTATTACCTTCTAATACACTGTATCATCTGTTTATTATTTTCTGTACTCCTTGTCTCTCCCCTCATTAGAATGAAAGCACAGATACAGAGAATCACGAGAGTCATCCATGGCTTAATGACTTATTACAAGGGTAACACTGCCCAGGTCAAGAGATAGAACTGCAGAAGCTTCTTCCTGTGTTCTACCTCAGTTATAACTACTCAGCATCCTCCAACCAGGAACCATTACCCTGGTTTTTATAGTAATCACTTCTTTACATTTCATCATAGTTTTATCACCCGGTTGTCCTTAGACACTGTAGTTCAGTCTTGCCCTTTTTACATCCTGTTTGCTCTTGTAGCTTTAGTGCCTAGAGCAGTGCCTGACACACAGCACTAAGTGAGTAGTTGTTGAATGAGTGAATTTCCAGTTTCTATTTTTTTACCCAGTGTAGTTTGTTAGATTTTCTAAGTTAATGAACCTTCTGAAAAGTTTGTAAGTAACAATTGGGTTCTTTGAGTTCATTTTATGTTGTTTTACAAGGACAGTATGATATTGTGGGCAAGGGAAGCATTTTTGTATTGCTAGAGCTGAAAGGACATGGGACTATCTTAACCAACCCTGTTACTTTATAGATGTGGAAACTAAACCCCAGGGCGGTTAAGTGACTTGTCAGAATGATTTTGTACCTAGTGTTAAAAGGGGATTTTGCTTACCTACTTTTCCCGGGTTGGTTGGGGAATTCCTTTAACCAGATAGACCTTTCAAAGTAAAGGATTCCAGTTGCATATGAAATATTAGATCACAAGTAACAGTGAGATTTCTCTAATAAATAGTTCTTGGCAAGAGATCCATCTAAATCACAAAAAGTCAGAATAAGAGATAAATCTGAAGTAATATATTTTTTTATTATTTTTCATTTATTTCATACTCCTCCAGTTTCCTTACTGATTGTCTCTTTTCTCTCTCTCTGTCTCTCTCTCTCTCACACACACACAGGGTGACTTGAAAGAGTTGTCTATAATTGTGCACTAATTCCTCAGCATCCAATCTCTTTTAGCCCACATTAATTGGGCTTTCATCCCAATTACATAACTGAAGTCATTCTTAACGAAGTCCCCACCAAACCTTCATTTTTCCAAATCCAGCTGTCTGTTTTCGGTCCTCCTGTTACTTGAACTCTCAGCAGCGTTCAACTTAATTGACCATTCCCTCCTTAAATAATTTTCCTTTGACTTCTAGATGCTATACCCACCATGTTTTCCTCCGCCTTGCCAGCTGTACCTTCTCAGTCTCTGATGCCTGCTCCTCTCCTTTTCTGACCTCTGAATAATAAAGCTCTGAATCCTGGGCTCAGTCTTGCTTTCTTAATTTCTCTTAATTTCCTGAGTTGAGCTCAGATCTGACCTCTTTTCCTGATCTACAGACCTGTATTTCCAGTTGTCTAACTAACATAATCCACTTGGATGTCTAATAGTGATCCCAAATTTAACGTTGCCTGAAATCACTCTTTTCCCCCATATCTCTCTTGATTTTTCCTCAAAGCCACCTTCTTTCCTGTTCCTCCCTAACTCAATTAAATCTAGTTTCTCAAGCCAAAAATCTTAGAGGAGTTATTCTAGATATTTCTTTTCGTCTTATCTCACATCTAGTCCATCAGCTCTTTCTGTAGTTCTCTCCTCAAAACATAGCCTGCCTCAATTATCACTTCACACCATCTCCCCTGTCACCAGCCTAGGTTAAGCCAATAGTCTTTTTTTTTTTTTTTTTTAAAGATTTTATTTATTTATTTGACAGAGAGAGACACAGCGAGAGCAGGAACACAAGCAGGGGGAGTGGGAGAGGGAGAAGCAGGCTCCCCGCAGAGCAGGGAGCCCGATGTGGGACTCTATCCCAGGACCCTGGGATCATGACCTGAGCCGAAGGCAGACGCTTAACCGACTGAGCTACCCAGGCGCCCCAAGCCAATAGTCTTGCCAAGGCACTTTGTTTGCCTCCTAAGTGGTTTTCTGTTTCTGTTTTTGCCCCTGCCCCTTTCTGCCTGCACTGTCCATTTGCCATACTATAGCCAGAGTGACCTTTTTTAAAAGTAAAATTACATTTATCTAAAGAGGACATACAAATGGCTCATAAGCACATGAAAAAATGCTCAACATCATTTGTTATTATAGAAATGCAAATCAGTGGATGCCTGGATGGCTCATCGGTTAAGTACCTTACTCTTGATTTCGGCTCAGGTCATGATCTTGGGGTTGTGGGGTTGAGCCCTGAGTCAGGCTCTGCGTTGGGCATGGAGCCTGCTTAAGAGTCTCTCCCTCCCTACCTAAAAAAAAAAAGGCCAATCAAAACCACAATGAGATACTGCTTCGCACTCACTAGGAAGGCTGTTATCAAAAAGATGGACAACAACACGTGTTTCAAGGATGTCAAGAAGTTGGAGTCCTCCTATGTCTCTTATGGGAATGTAAGACTGGAAAACAGTTTGACAGTTCTAACAAAGTTAGAGATTCTACAGATTCTCTGTATCTGTGCTTTCATTCTAATGAGTTATCATATGACTCAGTGATTCCACTTTTAGGTGTATACCCCTCAAAATTGAACACATACGTCTTCACATGAGAACTTGTATAGTAATATTCATAGTGTTATTTATAATAGCCCAAAAGTGAAAACAATCCAGATGTCTATCTACTGATGAATAGTTATAATAACCAAAAAGAAACAATCCAAATGTCTATCAGCTGATGAATAGCTAAAGAAAATACAATATATTCTTACAAAGGAATATAATTTGGCCACACAAAAAGTGGGAAGTACTGATACATGCCACAACATGGGTGAACCTTGAAGATGTGAAATGAAAGAAACTTGACACAAAAGGCCACATGTTGTATGATTTCTATAAAACGTACAGAGTAGGCAAGTCCATAGAGACAGAAAACTAGTTGAGTAATGGGGTTTCTTTTTGGAGTGATGAAATTTTCTGGAATTTTAAATAGTGATGATGTTGCACAACTTTATGACTTTTAACACTTTAGTATACACTTTGAAAGGCTTAATTTGGGGGCAGCCAGCTGGCTCAGTCGGAGGAGCATGTGACTCTTGATCGCAGGGTTGTGAATTTGAGCCCCATGTTGGATGTAGAGATTACTTTAAAAAAAGTGTTCTATGGCATGTGAATTACATCTCAATAAAGCTGTTATTAAAAATAAAATTAGGTCACTACTTACTTAGATTACTCCCTACTTAAAACATATCTGTGGTTTCCCATTACATTTCAAATTTAATTTAAAAAAAATTTTTTTAAGATTTTTATTATTATTTTTAAAGATTTTACTTATTTATTTGAGAGAGAGAGAGACAGTGACAGAGATAGCAAGAGAGCACAAGTGGGGAGGAGAGGGAGAAGCAGGCTTCCGTTGAGTGGGGAGCCAGACATGGGGCTCGATCCCAGGACTTTGGAATCATGACCCGAGCCAAAGGCAGACGTTTAACAGACTGAGCCACCCAGGCACCCCAAAGATTTTTATTTTTAAGTAATATCTACACCCAGTTGGGGCTCAAACTCACTATGCCGAGATCAAGAGTTGCTCACTCTACCAACAAAACCAGCCAGGTGCACCTGAAATTCATACTTAGGACCATCAAGGCCCTGTGTGATCTGCCCTTCCCTTATGATGCCCACGTTCTGCAGCCACACTAATCTTTTTGCTATTCCTCAAAGATGCCAAGGTCATTGTCACTTTTGTTTGGAATGTTCTTCTCATTCAGGTCATCCTTTCTAAAATATTTCCTCATAGCACAATGTACTTTTTTTTCCTTCACTAGAATCTGTTCTATAAGGGCAGGGATGCTGTCTTATTTGCTGTTCTTTCAACATCTGTACCAGGTTCTGGCACACAGTATGTGCTTCATTTTTTTTTTTAATTAATGACAAACTCTGTAGAGCATTTGTTTTAAAGTTTATTTATATTTTTAGTAATCTCTACATCCAGTCTGGGGCTCAGACTCATGACCCTGAACTCAAGAGTCACATGCTCTACCAACTGAGCCAGCCAGCTGCCCCTTGAGCATTATTTAGTTAAAAAAAAAAACCCCAAACCCCAAGATTTTGTAAATGGAGTGGTAATTAACTACTGTCTTTGATATAAATAACTCTGGAAAATTTAATCTAAAGAATAGAGATGTCTTTATTATATTAATTGGAAATTCTTGGTTCCTTCATTTTGGTTTGTGATTCCTGTTACCATGAGTTATATTTTGAACCTGATAATTATTTTTTTGCATTCAAGTTAGCCATATAGCCTTCTGAATTGTGATTTTTCATTTGTACTGTTTGTTTGTTTGTTTGTTTTTCTTTTAGGGGCCTTGGACAAGTGGTTACCGACTATGTTCGAGGGGATGCTTTGCAGAAAGCTGCCAAGGCAGGCGTTTTGGCATTGTCGGCTTTCACCTTTGCTGGGCTTTGTTATTTCAACTATCATGATGTGGGCATCTGCAGAGCTGTTGCCATGCTGTGGAAGCTCTGACCTTTTTGACTTAATACCTTGAGAATTGATTGTACACCTCTTTGCCTCTGCTCTGTCATGCCATTCAACTCACAATAAGGAGGAAATAACAGATAAGTCCATTGGTGAGATAAACCTCTTCTAATCACCTGGTTATTTTTAGAGTTTAGTCCTTGAGGAAAAGGTTCGAGAGGAATTGTATTCAAGAAATTTGGAGACTGGGTTCCTTGGTCTGGTGAGTTTATGGGGTTGTGTCCCAGCTTCTCACAAGACTCCTAGCATAACTAACCATAATGTATGAGCTTTTGCCTGTTAACTAATCAAATTCTTAAAGGGAATTCAGCTTTATTACTATCAATACCTGATCAAACTTCTGTATTTGTCCTGGGAATGATGGAGAAAGGGAAAGCCTGTTAATTCATAAGTAAAGATTTTGCAGAAAATTAGTGTTTAATTTTTGAAAATTTCCCTCTCTGTTCAGTCAATACCAGTTACTGATGGTTACATGTCCTAGGGAAACTTTAAAATTAGGAAATACTGATATTTCACATTATTAATTTCTAAATCCTGGGAAGAAGAGCCTGGAGAGCTGAGTATAGAGAAGTTCCATGTGGGAAAGAGGTCCCCTCATAGATGTATCAAAGTATTGTAGATTCTAAACCAAGACTTAATCCTCAAATGTGTTTATTTTGCTTGTCCTAAAATAATCTGTCTACAAATGTAAAACTGTAAGTAATAAATTGTTATTTTCCCACTGTAGGAATCTCTAATGTGAAAATGTATTCTATGAAAATAAAGTTTTTTTAAAAAATAAAATTCTATCTAATAAAAATGTATTCTACTCTTTTATGTATTAACTGTCCCTAGTTTTATTCAGTAGAACTTGGTGTCTGTTGCATATACACCAGTAAAACCGGACTGTTTAAATTTCTTTCTAGGGCTTAGCAGTTAGGTAAATTACAAAGTACTGTAATACAAAAAAGACTTAAATGTAATAGGGAAAAATATACTGAGTATGAGTAGTTTGGTATGAGAGAAGTATAAAGATTAAATACATTTGGCCCTTGAATAACACAGTTGCTCTGGTCCACTTATATGTGTATTTTTTTTTTTTTATAAATACAGTACTATAAATGTATTTTTTCTTTGTGATTTTCTTGATATTTTTCTTCTAGCTTACTTTATTGTAAGTAGCATATAAATCATATAACAAAAATGTATGTTAGTTACTGTTTATGCTATCAGTAAGGCTTTTGGTCGCTAGTAGGCTATTAGTAGTTCAGTTTTTGGGGAGTCACATAGATTTTTGACTGAGGTGTCAGCGCCCCTAACCCCCACATTGTTTAAGGGTCAGCTGTAGTAGGAATTAGAAGGAGGTCCAGATTATGATGTTCTGTAAATGCCAGCCTTTGGAATTTAAATTACATTCTGTATGCAGTTAGTTTGATCTGAGGGGTGAGTGTAAGGCATGATGGTTTGTTTCTCCTAGCACCATAGAGGAACTGGGACTTGGCGTGTTTCCCTCACCGAAGACCTTACTGGGCAGCTGAGGCAAACTATTGAAGGGGAGCTGGCTAGGAGGGTAAGTGTGTTCATGAATGTCTGTATTAGGGACTAAAGATAAGCTCCCCTTAATGGGCTTATGGCCATGTAGGAGATTCAGATGTATATTAAGTGTTCAGAAAGAGGTGATTAATTCTGTTCTGGGGTGGTTCACGGTTTCAAAAGGGAGTGATACCTGAATAGCAGTGGTTTCCCAAGGAGTGGTGGTCGTGGGCGAGTCTGCCTTGTCAGGGAGAAATATAATAACATACAAATAATAAAATTACTAATAAAATAGTAGTACAACTGGCATTGTTTCGAATTGCTGGCTCATGACGAAGATAAAAAGCAGACCTTTAGTCGATTTTATTATTGGCTTAAAATTCTATATAGACAATGATCCCCCTTCGTGTCATTTCTCTCTTCTCCCCCTCCGCAGCCCCCAGGACACCACTGCGTAAAGTGGGAGTTTTCCATATAGTTGAAATGGGGAGGACAGGACCTGGGTAATATGGGGTTCCTGTAGCTATCGCCAGCACCATCGGACCACAGTTGGATCTGGAGAGGTGTCTAATGCTAGTAAGCTTCATTAGGTGGTGACTGAGAAGTTAGAGTGGAGGCTCATTGGGTACTGCCTGCTCCAGGTCCCAGCTGGTTTTGTCATTAGGATGGTGCTGAGCCTTCACTGTGGGAAATCATTGGATTGCTGTGAGCTGCTGAGGCAGCAGGGAAAATGAGGCAGGGGCTAAGAGCAATAGGTTTCTGAAGCTAAGCAGGACATGGTCAGAACTGTGCTTTAGAGAGAATTTAGGTGACATGACGAAGGTTGATAAACTAGAGGCAGAAGGACATGGAGGAGGATAGAGGAAGAAAGGGCCTCTCTGAACATTAGTGGCAGCAGAAAGTAGGACTCAATTTTAAAGGTATTGTAGAAATGAAAAAATATTCCTTCATCTGACAGGTACTAAGTACCTCATGTAATTGGCACTGTGATAGGTACTGTGGGTAGAGAGAAGTCCTCTGCCCTTAAAAGGAATTCATAGTCCCATTGGGACAACAGCTAAGTTATATACCGTATACTGCAGTACACTGGTAAGTGCAGTAATAGTTCAGCATATCAAGCAGTGATCTAAGGAAAGGCGCAGTTAGAATTTGCAAGTTTCCTAGAGGAGTCTTGACCTGGTATCTGAAAGATAAAGGAGCTGACAGGTAGCCAAGGAAGCCGAAGATGGCTCATCATTTGGTATGACTGGGTTGACTGTAGAGGACCTTCTATGCCATTGATGGCAATGAGGAGTCACTGAAGATGGTTAATTATGCAAATGATACGGTCATGTTTATTTTAAATAGGTTACGCTGGCAGCTGTGTGAACTATGCATTTGAGTGAGTTAAGCATGGAAATGTTAGATTATTTCAGTGATGCAGAAAAGACGATGAAAGGCAGTAATAGAATGAAGAAGAAAAATTTAAGAGATATTTAAAACTTAGAATCAATAAGAGCTATGCTCGGGTGTGAGAGATCAAGAGAGGAGGGAGTGTATGTTCAATTTCTTTGTTGGAAATAGTTGGATGGGAAGTGGTCATTAATTTTTGGAGGAAAATTAGATATGACAGTGGAGGGATGGGTCACTATCAAAGCTTTGAATTTATGAGATATCCAGGAAGAGAGAATTTATAGAATTTCTATTTTTGGCAATATGACAGACTAAATTTTAGAAATTATTTTGCTACGATGCATCTAAGAATGTTAAACCAAAAGCACCTTTTAAAACATGAGTCATCTTGCTCCAAGAAACGCTCTCAAGCCAGAACAAAATTTGCATGCATAAGGAGGTAAATCATTTGCCCTGGGATTATTTACTCATCTCGGGTGGCCTAGAGCTCTAGACCTAAGAAGGCAACATAGAGGCCAGGAGCAAAGCTCTGGGCTCAAACTGAAGTTTGATCGGAGACTCCCTCAAACTAGGAACCGTGAAGAGTTTTACCCTCAAAGGAGGGTGATTTAGAAAAATAATTTTTACCTCCAAAAGTGGAGAGGACTGAGTTGCCTTGGTTCTAATTGGAGGAAGAACTTCTCCTCTGAGAGTATGTGGCTAAGGGCCAGTCCTTATGCCAGTTTGTGGCCTGAGTTCTTACTATCTGCGTGTTTAAAAAGACTACATGCTGCTTATTTAACATTTACTTGGGTTGGTAGTGCCCCAGATGCCTGGTAGGAAGTAAACACATTTTCTCTGGAGGAAGGTTTCTCCAACACAAGCCTCAAAAATTCCCACAAAGCTCTAAATGAATGTGAACTTCCAGCAAAAAACCATAATACATACAGGAAACACCCTGAACAAGACTTGTCAGCATAGAACAAACCAACCTACCCACGAAGAATTCAGATCCCGGCAGAATTTTCAGACACAGAATAGAAATAAAATGAGATGGAAGTTTAAGTACAAGTCAGTTGTCAGATCAGGGGTGAGAACATCTTTGGAGAAGGTGACCCTACACCTGGTGTTCTCAATCCGTAGAATCTTGGGAAGTAGATGTCTACTTAGGAAAAGTTGTCTGTTCCTCTGGAATCCTTATAGTTGAATGTCAGGGTCCGTCTCCAGTGGGTCTGGATATCCTTACATGACACTGGGTAGCATGTATCCATGGCTGTGGGCCTGGAGCTTGAGAACTCTATATGTGAGGTTAAAAGTACCTGAAATGGTCACTTCCAGTGTGGTTCCAAGGCTGACTTTTATTGGTATCTCTTCTAATAAATCTAGTGTCCTAGTTATATATCATGCTGGTGGTGGGGGGGTACAAAATGTCTGATGATACGTCTTTCAGAAAAACAACTTTTATGTTGGACTATGTATAGGAGGTTCATTTTTTTTTTTTTTTTTAATGTAACAATTACAACATACCATGGGTAGAATCTGTTAGAGGATGAGTCAAGCCCAGCCTCATGGGGTCTTTCTATAACAATTTCATCTGAGAGTTTATGGAGATTTTTTAAAATGTAAATTGCAATGTCATTAGGCCTTGGCATAAAACTTAGAACTGAGGAAAGTTTCAGTCTAAGCAGAAAAGTTAGAAATTATTATTTGAAAGTACTTAACTGGTTATAATTTGGGCAGCTGAATTAAATGGGTGGTGGGTATTAAGGAGGGCACTTGTGATGAGCACTGTGTTGTAGGTAAGTGATGAATCACTAATCCTGAAACCAATTTTACCACATACATTAACTAGAATTTAAATAAAAACTTGAAAAAAAATCCATTTGTAAATGTTCAAATGGTCTTCATATGTTTTCTAGATTATAATTAAAATGAGTAAAATTTTATCACTTGTTGAGCCTCCTAGGTAAAACTTTTTTGACTAATATTTTTGTAAAGTTTGAACCAATTTGTCTCTGTAATTTGGGTTATTATTATTATTTTCTTCAGCACAAATATTAGCAGCCTGGAAGTAGTTTAGGAATTACCAATCAGTACGAAACAGCCTTGACAAAGCAAATGTCTTTCCCCTTATCCACCCTCCCACCTGCAGTAAGGGCAGTGTTGTATTTTAAATAGTCCTTCTTATACAGAAATCAGATTGAATAATTGCCTTTAAAATATGCTGGTAATGCTAGAAAGGGCTCTTTGTATGATAGTAAGCTGTATGGTGTTAAGTGTGGACTTTATTTTTTTTTTAAGATTTTATTTATTTATTTGACAGGGAGAGACACAGCAAGAGAGAGAACACAAGCAGGGGGAGGGGTAGAGGGAGAAGCAGGCTTCCCGCCGAGCAGGGAGCCTGATGCGGGACTCGATCCCAGGACCCTGGGATCATGACCCGAGCTGAAGGCAGACGCCTGACAACTGAGGCACCTAGGCGCCCCTTGCCTTTAGCTTTAAAATGTAATTTTTTGATCCTAGCATGTTAGGCAAACACAAGTATCTTACTGAAATTTCTACCTTAGTAAACTGTAGAAATTCCTTTGACAAATAGAAAAAAACATATCCATTTGTTTTCAAATATATATATTCTTTTACTGCATCTACTATATCTACTATAGTTTTGATCATTCATATTGGTTACTTTAGTTAGATTACTTAATCTTTTACCACAACAATTAGTTTCTATTTCCTTACAGACAGAAAACCAGAAGGCAGGTGACAAAGAGCTGATGTACAGAGGTACCTCAGAAAACACTAACATCACCCAAGGGCATAGAGACATTCTATTAAACATGTTAATAGTCAGTCTATAATGTATAAAAGTAGTTAGAGGTGTATTAAAACTGTGGTTGGTAACCAATGTTTTGTATTCTCTATCTTAGAAATTGTCCA